GAAGGAAGGCGTTCCTCGCCACCGCTGTCACCTGAGCTTCCAAAGAAAGCTCCGGGTCGAGGAGTACTCCTAAGCTGCGGACCTTATCCCTAAGAGGGAGTGTTGCACCATTCAGGACCAGGTCAATCCACCCTCTCCGAAACCCGATCCGCCAACCAACAGGACCTCCGTCTTGTCTGGGTTGAGTTTCAGTTTATTGGCCCTCATCCATTCCCTTACCTCGGCCAAGCACCGGTTCAGCACAGCCACTGCCTCACCTGGATTAGTGGAAAACGAGAGGTAGAGCTGGGTATCATCAGCGTATTGATGATTCCGCAGCCCACACCTCCTGATGACCTCTCCCAGCGGTTTCATATAAATGTTAAATAGCAGAGGGGATAGAATGGAGCCCTGTGGTACCCCATGGCATAGCTGCCATGACGAAGATTCTTGAGGGTTTTATATATTTCTACATACCAAGTACTCTCAAGTCCAAACTGAATAATATATATGCTACTTTGGAGTCTGGATAGGGTCCTTTTGATTGCTAAAAAATGCCCATTACCTGTACCACCATTCGGTATTCATCAAGGGTCACTGTGAGCTCTTCTGTTCGTTTTGCTTTCTGCAAGTATAAAAAAACTCAGATATGCAAGTAACTCATTCTCATTCAAAACAAACTATAAGCTTAGAAATGCCTGTATCACCTAAATTTTTTAAAGGATAGTTTGTTCTCATAGAACCAAGTGATACTTAGTTATGAGGTTGTACTGACACCTAGTGATCCCTGAATGCAAAGCCAAAGCAAAATTCATTTTAAAACTATCTCGTATTCTCCATGTATTCTGCAATGTCAGAGGAAGAATGCAAGAACCTCAGGGATTGTCAATTCACAAACAGGGCACAATGTTCAACCTTGTTGTAAAGGTCAATAGATATTTAACATTCTATAATGAACAAAAAAAAAATCCAATTAATCAGATCGTGCATTTTTAAAATTATTATTTTAACACAAATACTTATAAAAACTGCTGGTGGCAAGTACCATCTCTGGAAAAGGCATTGCTCCTGTATAACAGAAAGGAGAATGCCACAATGATAGCACCTGGTGCAACACATGCATGAATTATCTAAAAATGAAGAAAGCTTAAGAACACCTTGTTTTAAGACTGGAATGCACTACCTGTTGTTCATTCACAGTACCTTAATTTTACATGACTATTTTTTCAACTTGTCATATCCCCTGTATACAGCTCACCTCATTAAGGGCAGCATCTTTGCAGGATATAAGATTTTCATACTCATACAGCTGGGACTACAAGGAAGCAATAATAGTTATTACTTTGTTACCACAGATCCAAACTACAATAATAGCAGTTGTTTGACCTGGAATGGTGATATTCTAATAGTGTTAAAAATTTTGTGCATATTTCTTGGTCCATCAGTACCTTCATTTTATCCTTTTGTGTAAATAGCTCTTTGATTTTACACTTAGTGCTTTCTTTTTCCAGAAGCAGCTTCTTGTTCTGGAAGACAAATACAGCAAACTCTTAACATTAATTTCTTCCCTTGTTCTGAAGCAGTTGGCTATCAGTGGAACTTTAGATGGTCTTGTTTCAAAAGAATAGAGAATATACTCATTCTGATGGGATCCCAGTGTAAATACAAGAAAACAGATGCATGAATTTTTGTAAGAAACGTGCAATTTTTTGTATAGTTTTTCATCATGTGTGCAGTGCCTCTTCATGAAATGGAAGATGATTCTCCATTCTGCATTTGCAGCAGAGATTTTCTTTGTACCCTAAAGATACAGCCACAAACACAAGAGTAAAGCCACACAACACATCTTTCCTTGATTTTATCTCTATTGTCTCATGGCTGACATGGCTTACCTCTTCCTGCAGATTATCCACTTGAATAGAGAGGAACTGCTGCTCTTTCTCCTTAAGTAAGGAAAAAAGTTAAAATCTGATTAATGTTCATGAAGATCTAGAATTCCAACACAACATTTTACCACCAAAAAACAAGAACAGGTATATTTCTTTAATCTGGAATGCATGTGAAATTTATGTGCAAATACATCATTCACAGTTTATGTCCAGAAATTGAGTTTTAATCTCAGGACCATTTTCCACACAACATAGATAATCCATCCACTTAAACAACACATTTTCAAGTGTATGCAGCTATATAAAACCCTGAAAGTCTTCCTACAGTTTCAGAGGAATGGACTATAACAAAAACTTGAACTTTCCAATCAATAACATCAATAACCTATTCTTTTAAAATGTTTGATTAACTGAATGTAAATTGAGAAAAATGTGCAAATGCTCTACAAAAGGAGGAAGATAAACCTGAATGGAAAGGACTTACCAGCAGTCGTGCTTGTGTTTGCAGTTTACTATTTTCCTCTTCTAGACTTTTTGAAAAAACTTTCAAATCTTCTAATTCATTTGCCATAACCCTGGCTTGTTCTAAGGCTTGCTGGGTACTGTAAAAAAGAGTGGCGAATGTTCAGTTAGAGTGCTCTGAAATCTACTGCTAAACTTCACTATTATCAAATTGTGTGAGGAAGAGTCAAGGAAATTGAAAATGGGAAAAGACACTAAATTAGGCAGCCAGGGAAGGGAAGCAAGATCCATGCCCAAACTTATATTGAAGAGCTGGAGTAGGGGGAAGGACACTAAAGAAGAATGCTTGAAAAGAGGTGAATACAGAAGCCATGCTCAGCAGGGGGCACAGTGGTGGATTACAGTGATCTGCACTGACTCCTGACTGAGTGTCTCTATGCTGAAATTTCAGCACAACAAATAGTTCCTTAAGCGTAGACACATATGTAATTGAGAATGTTTCCCAACCCTCTATTATTTGCATGCTTGGATTCGTCCAAGTCAATGGTCTGAGGTTAGGCAATCCAAACAATTACCCTTTCAGCTTTCCTTTCAGGTCAGAGATCTCTTCAGAGAGTCTTGAGTTGAGCTCTTCTGCAGTCTCAATAGTCCTCTGTAGCTTAATATTCCGCACTACTAGCTGCTTGTTGTCATGCTGCAGGTCATTGATGCTGTTTGTCAGGTCAGCAGCTTCTTCTCTATTGTTAGAAAAAGGAAGAAAAGGCTAGTAAACCAGGAATTAATCTTTGCCATTCTGTTTCAACATAATGCTGACTATTCAACATTGAATGTCCCATATAGAGTTTGTAACTCTGATACATGCAATCTTGCATGCTAATCTCTTAGGACACTAACTAAATATGGAAATCATGCAATCAAGAGCATTGAAAAACAAAGCCATGAATGCAAACTATATTTTGCCCTTGAAAATGGAAGATTCAGTAATTATATCTAATCAAGTTTCTCTTTCCTCTGATGAGTAAAAGGGTAGAAGATAGAAGTCCAACAATAAGCATTGGACAATGGCCCCACTGTCATTAGGGTCTCATCACTGGAAGGCACAGAAAGCAAATTCAATGATCCTTATATATTCACAAAGTTAAAGAAAAATTTGTAAAGCACAATTGCCCTCACAAATTTTTAAAGTCACAGGCTAGGAAATATGCTCCTGCAATCACTTAAAACTACATAGTAGACAAGGTTTCATGTACTTTACCCTTATTGCCCGAACCACTATGGCACAGATGACATAATACGGAATAAATGTTTGAACACTGCAGAATAATTGGTCTTAATGCCATTTTCTATGTCAATTAAGGGAAGAATAAAGTTAATTAAGAAAACTGTATTGGCAGTTATACATAGAATAGAGGTCAGAGCTCAGATGTGTCTAAGAAGAGAGCTGGTTCTTGCACAGTATTATATCTGAACTAGCGTTTCCTACAGTTATGTGCTTTTCATCCCACTTCTTAGAATTTTATATGTCCAGGAGTTATGTACTCACAAATTTTCATGTGTTGTATCCCACTGCCCTGCCAAAGATAGCTAACTCATCTGTCATCCCATTTTCTCCCCAAAAGAATAAAGATTTTCTAGTTCTTTTGCATGGATGACAGAACACCCCTTTTGGATATATAAACCAAATCAAAATACATTATCACTTACTACTTAAAACACATCCTGTCAACATATTGAGAAGGCCACTAACAATTTGTCCATTCTGAATATGCACATAGGTGTGTCTTTCAAAAACAGAATAGACTGCTTTTTAAACAATTATATGTCTCCCTGGATTTCTATCTTGCTCATAAGAAGTCACAGAAGGATATATGAGCCAAGTCTCTTAGCTCATTATATGAAAGCATTATTGAACACTCAACATTTAGAAAGCTAAGGACATTGCCCTCTGCTTCTTCATTTGTTCCTTTTCTTTTTTCAGCACAAGCTCCCAGACAGGAAAATGTAAATATGGCTTATAAATCTGTCTAGCTCCTGTGTACTGTGTAATCCCTTAGATAAAGCACAGATTAACAGCCATTGCTCCTGCCTTATTCCTGGCCTGAGAAGTAAATCAGCATTGGAGAGCCTCTTCTTATTTGTCATACTCTCTCACTTGTTTTTCCAACTATCCTCTGATAAAAATGTTTACCCATCACTACTGATGTATGGGAAGAAATGGCTAATCAGTAGCAGAAAGAAAAAGAAGGAAAACAAAAAAACAAATCTAACACTATTTGATCAAAATTCTGAACAGATTTTTTTCCAAAGATGAGGCATCTGATCTCTGACAAATGGGAGCAAGGGGGCAGCAGCATTGGAAAGGAAGCTTGATGGAGAAGAGGATACAGAGGCTAAGCACACACTTTGTGGTACAGCAGCACTCAGCAACTGACACTTCTAAAACTATCTGTATGAAACAGACATGCAGCAGCAAAACAAAAGAATCTGGAGTTAACGCTGGCTGGAAATGCAGATTGCACTTAGTGGAAGGCATATGCATTTTGACCCATGGCCCACCTTCAATGCAGGGCACCATCTAGCAAGGATCCAACAAAGCAACCTAGTCAAATGGTGCATAAATGTGCCCTAGTCCCTTAGTGTTCACAAACAAGGAGTGGAAACGCACTAACTTCTCTGAAGTTAGCAATACCATTTACATTTTTTTTTGTTTGTTTCTGGAAATTTCCATTATTTGTGCAGCTGACTCTTTTTTTTAATCTCATTGAGCTCACTGAATAAAGTGCCTTCAGTTATGGCAAGTTAAAAATACTTAATGTGTTCCATTTAGTTTTAATCTTCATTTTTACATTTCCAAAATGCCAAAAGTTAGTTATCAAATTCACCATGCCTCCAAATGGAGGACTACTAGCACTACAAATCGAAGGCTTTGTGTGGCAATTCTATCTTTTCCTCTTCAGTGGAATTTTTCTGATAAGAAAAAAGACAGGAGAAATATTGGAGAACATAGGAGTGTTACCAACTAAAGACTCTGTCATCTTGCTCCACTGTAAAATTCCATGTTTGAAGTAAGATAATTGCAAGATAAAAGCCTTGTCAGAAAGCACCCTAAGCACCCTGTCATATCGCAATAAAAGACGCTTTCAAGAAATTTAATATTGATGCTAAAAGAATTTCTAATACATTATTTAAATGTTATAGTTACTATACTAACCCTTCCTGTCGACAGTCTGCAATCCAATCTTTCATGACTGAATGAAAGGTAGAAAAATCAACAGCAACCCCCATCTCTTCAGGGTCCAATCTTTTATACAGAGACCGAAACCTCCAGTCTTCACAGCTATGCCCTGTCATCTCCTGTAAGTATTCAATGATTCGGAAAACAGACACCTTTCCTATAGCCAAAACACAGGTGGAGAGAGTTATAAAGCAAAGAAGAAAGCTTACATATAAATATTTAATGCAATGGCCCCCAAACCTTTTGGGCTTGCTACCCTCTTTCTTCTTGTGTGACCCCCTAGCACCCTCATGCCTCTTACTTTGTATTGGTTCTATTGCAAATTTAAAACAGCCAATCACATCCCCCCCGCCCGAACCTTCCACATCCCCCAGGGGAGCAGCAATGCCCACTTTGGGAATCAGTTTGGCTTCTGATTTAATGGAGCCAGTAGCCAAAATATCTGCATTTACCATTCTTATGTACCAGTAGAGCGTAATATAAGACTTTTATATGCATTTGTGCATCTAGAACAAAGGAAGGAATTATATTATCTTTGGTTGCAAATAATAAAGATCATCCATGTATGAAGTTGTGTGGCTGGTCCATGGCTGGTATCATCATAATCCTAACATATCCCATAATGGTAGCTCAGAAAAGGGATTGTGTAGTCTGAAAACACTTGATGAAAAAATGAGAATTTTTATTTACATATTCAATGAACTTCTAATGCTAATTTTTGGGGAAAAAACAACTGCTGCAGAAAGACCCATTCTGAGGTGACAGGAATACATGTCTCAAAAGCCATAGTTCTTTTAATTATTCTTAAATGCAGATGTAGGAAATAAAGGAGAATCTAATGTCATAAGAAAATTTGGCCTAGGGATAAGAAATGAAGAGAGTAACTAGTAGAAGCCAACAACTTGTTTATTGTAAACACATACTTCAAGCAACTGCTCAGATGACTGTGTATGTGAACTTCACCAGATGGCCAATAGAGAAATCTAACAGATTATGTAATGGAAAACAGAAGGTGGAGAAGCTGTATTCTTGCTGCCAAAACAAGGCCAGGAACAGATCGAAGAAGCAGTGACTGTCAGTATTTAATTTCAAAAATCTGAGTCAAGCTAAAAAAAGATCACCAAAAGAAACATGGTATCAGAATACAATTTAAGTAACATCCCTGAAGAATTTAAAGTCCACATAAAGAACAGATTTGCATTGCTCAATTGAACTGATCATGAGCCAGAAGAACTGTGGACTGAAACCAGTATCATTATTAGGGAAGAACGCAAAAAGACAATTCCTGTAGCAACAAGAAAGAAAAAGCCTAGATGGATGACAGAAGAAACAGTGTTTAAGAACAAGCAAGAAACACAAGCAAAAGGTGATGCCTACCACATAGAGACAAAGAGAACTATTACGATAATCAGTGAGGAGAAATAGACGAGAGCAACAAAAGGGGAAAAACAGGAGACCTCTTCCAGAAGATCCAAGAAATCAAAAGGAAATTCAAATATAGATTAGGAATGCTACAGTACACACAATGGAACACACTGTCTGACTAGGAGAAAATAAAGGGAAAGTAGAAAAGAATATACAGAATATATGAAAGACTTTTTCAAAGTGGCATCTATGAAGAACCACCTATAATATTAGAAAGCGAAGTGAAAGCTGCTCTGAAAGCTCTTGCAAAGAATAAAGCACCTGGAGTAAACAGGATATCATTAGAATTATTCCAAGCTGCAGAAATGAATCAGTCCAAATTCTACCAAAAACATGTCAGCTGATATGGAAAACAAAACAATGGCCCACAGACAGGAAATGTTCAATATATATTCCAATCCCCAAGAAAGGGAAGCCAAAAGAGTACAGCAACTACAGGGCCATTGCAGTAATCATATGCATAATGCAAATATATGTTGAATACTGAAGCATACCAAATAATTTCAAATAAAAACATTCTGTGCTTTAGACTATGGCAAAACCTCTGACAGTGTGGATCATGAGAAGCAGTAGACAGTCCTGAAATAATGGGTACACCTAAGCACTTCAACTTTCTCTAGAACAACCTCTATCATGGACAAGAAGCAAAAACAGGGCAAATACAGAGAAACAGAATGTTTCCCATAGGCAAAGGTGTCAGAGAAGGATGTATTTTATCACCCTATCAGTCCAATCTATATGCAGAACCTATCATAAGGAAAGCTGGATTCAAGTCAGAGGCAAAAATGAAAATTGGTGGAAGAAACTCCATAATTTAAGTTATGCAGATGATACCATACTACTGGCAGAAAGTAATATGGTATCTACTTTCTTGAAACAACTTGAAACAACTCCTGATAAACATGAAAGAAGAAAGTACAAAAGCAGGACTACAGCTAAATATTAAAACAAAAATCATGTCCACAGAAGAATTACAGACCTTTACTGTGAGAAATGAAGAAATCAAAACTGTGAACAATTTCACATATCTTGGCTCAGTCATCAATTCAAAAGAAGATTGCAGCCAAGAAATTCAAAGCCTGATACTTGGAAGGGCAGCTATGAAGGAACTAGAAATGATCAAGTGTAAGTACCATTGTACTTGAGACTAAGGTCAAGATCATCCAAACTATTATATACCCAATCACAGTCTATGGGTGTGAAATCTAGTCAGTGAAGAAAACTGATAATTAATGTATTCAAAACATGGTGCTGAAGGAGAACTTTGTGAATACTTTGGACCTACAGAAAGACAAACAAGTTGGGTCCTAGATGAAATCAAGCTAGAACTTTCCCTAGAAGCAAAAATTAGCATTTTTCTTGCCTTACAAATGAATTGGTCTCAATTACTGCCAGTCAAAATATGCATGCTTCTTGCCTGACCAGTTTCCCTCTTACCAGAATTTACCCAGAAGCAATGCAGTGGTCAGTTGTACATTCTCCATGGATCATTCACCAGACATAATGAGAAGTCTTGCGTTATCAGACTAAGCAATCCTGCAAATAAGCTGAGTTGGCTCTTTATGGAGCAACCCAAGGTACAACTGGCAGATGACTGGGCTTTGTTCTTCCCCTCCTTCCCCTCAGTTCTCCATGTTGTACCAAGTATCCCAGGGGACTGCAGCAGAAACAAAGTACATAAATCTGTGCTTCCAGCTGTTATCAGTAGTCTTGCCCAGTCAAATTTTTATATGTTTGAGCTATCAAAGGGAGCAGGTAAGGTGAGTAGGTAGCATGCAAAGGCATGGATAAGTTAAGGCTGTCCATAGGCTAACTGAGAAAGGAAGAACCCAGTAGAGAAAGTACTAAAACTGAAGGTGGGGAAGCCAAAAAGTAAGGGCAAGAAAGAAGTTGATGCAATTAAGTAAATTATACCTCCATTTACTACCCAGCCCTTAAATTTGTGTAGTTTTCTAGTTGTTTTTTTTAATAGTGAAGAAACTACAGTAACCCCAGCAGTAACTCTGAAAAGGAGCCACACAAAGGCGGGGGGTGGGGGGGGGGGTGGCAAGCTAATACAGAATGCCCATCTCTCTTCTGGGACTTGTTGTCAAGCTCCCCTTGATTTACTTGCTTGTGCTCCTGCATACAAAACACTTTTGAAAACTATTCTGAAAGGTGTCTCCATATGTTTACAAAAACAAACAAAAAACCCAAAATGTAGAATAATTTCCAGAAGAATAATTTCCAGTTAACATCTGACAATTAGCCATTTTTAAGATTGAGGGTTTCCAGCTGATATTAAAAAGCATTCTACCTGTTTGTTCTGGATCACAGGCCTTGAATGTGCATTTCAGAACATGTTCTTCAGAGCACTGGCCTGCATTCAGGAGGATGTTCTTATTGCTGACGCTAATGCTGTCCCATGGTACTGCTAAGGAACATGAGGAAGTTGCATTCAACATAAATTAGATTTTTTTTTCTAAACCTGGATTATCTGCAGTCTAAGTCATCTTTCTGGGTCTGTTATGAAATGCATTTACAATCCCATTATTGAGGTGAGGATATCTAGAATAAATCTGCTTGCAAAACCCTTTGTGGGAATTCATATGAATTTGGTCCATCCTTATCTGGAAAAGGAGAAACTGGGTCAAGAACATAAGAACATAAGAAAAGCCATGGTGGATCAGACCAAAGGTCCATCTAGTCCAGCACTCTGTACACACTGTAGCAAACCAGCTGCCCACAGGATTGCTCAAGCAGGATGGGTACAAGATCTCTGCCTGCCCAAGCTCCTCAACAACTGGTATATATAGGCATGCCAGCTCGGCTAAGGAGGAAGCATATAGCCAGCAAGGCTAGTAGCCACTGATAGCCTCCTCTCTCATTAATCTGTCCAGTCCCCTTTTAAAAGCATCCAGTTTGGTAGCCATCACCACTTCCTGTGGCAGCAAATTCCATAGTATAACTAAACTTTCTTTTATAACTATCACTTTTTCCATGCCATGCGTTATTGTAAACACTCATGTCTCCCCTTACTTGCCTTTTTCTAAGCTAAATAGTCCCAGTTGTAGCTGTTCCTAATAGGGAAGTTGCTTCAGCCTCCAGTGATTTTTGTTGCCCTTCTCTATACTTTTTTCAACTTGATAATGCCCTTTTTCAAGTAGAACAACCAGAACTGAACACAATATTCTAAGTGCCATTGTACCAAAGATTTGTATAAGGGAAATAAAATCTTGGCAGTTCTATTTTTTATTCTATTCCTAATTATGCCTAGCATAGAGTTTGCCTTTTTCACAGCAACTGCACACAGGGTTGACATTTTCATCAAGCTGCCCACTACTACCCCAAGATCTCTTTCTTGCTCAGTCAATCCCCAATGAACTCAGCGGGACTTACTTCAGAGTAGGCATGCACAGGATTGTAGTGCTAAGGTAGAAGTTTTTTTTTTTATGAAGTTCACTGAGCAAGGAAAAATAATTCTAGGAGCTTATGCATTTCACAAAATATATACTACAATTTCAGCCATAACCAATACAATACTTACTTTCTGTCGACAGGAATGAAGTTAACTCTGCAACAGCTGCATTGTCAATAGACTTGTGATAATTATTCTCCATCATAACAAACAGATAACTTTCTTCTCAATCAGAGCTATTACACAGAAACAAAAGATACTATAAAATTTTATTATAAGATCATGTCTTTATCCATCTGCAGCAAACAAAGTGACAACATATTCTTTATCCAGCTAGAAGCCTCTTTAAGTTATTTGCTTCCATGCCCTTTGGGTGGTAGTAGTATTAATAGGTAATTTTGAGTTTTTCCTTTGCTACTATCAGAAGCATATTAGAATTGGTTTAGTTAGATTCTAGGTACACTATACATCTTACACTGAGAACTGGAGAAATATTTAGATTAGATAAAGAGAAATTCTGCAAGATAGCAACCAACATTTTCCCTTCATGTTGCCAGTGCCAAGGGTAGGCCCTGGGAGTTTTCTTCTTTACTGCAGACTGCTTGTCTACCTGCCTCTCACTCTGGCCCAGGCAATGGTGGTGGTACTTGATGCTGCATCCTGCTTACTCACTGGCTCTCTGCCCATCAAGCAAGCAAATACTGACAACTGAAAGAGGAACTGCTTGAAGGATGGGGTCACTGATGGTTTCTTGCACAATGGGCCTCAAAAACCTAGAGTCCACACTCTGCAAGGACTCTCTAACATGCATACCAAGAGACATAATTTTCATCTCCGCCCTACTGACCAGAAGTTGATATTGACTGTATGATTCCCCACTATGGGTACAATCAATAACAAGCAGGCATTTGTCACAGCCTAAGTTTAAAAGTGGGCCATAATTTCACTTTGTTTAAGTTTGACTATTTTGGAGTATCCAGCCACTATGAGTGGTATATTCTTAAGAAATGATATTTGGGTGTGGTATTTCTAACAAAAAAGTGTACCTACACTATGGTGCCAGCATTCTGCCTCATTCACAGAGGTTTACAGGGGGTTCAAACATAGTCATATATTTGTGACCTTCCCAAGTTTCTTTACTGCTTTCTATCCTTTTCCTTAAAGCAGAAAATCTATATGGGAAAAAAGATGGAATAGTTCCATTACGCTTTTTGATTGCTAGTCCTAAAAGCCCTCACTCTAGAAGATCCTGCGGTGGGGAATATGTACTTCAAAGTAGTAACTTTGGTCGCCTATGTGGTGATTTGTTGCAGGGGGTTGGCCTCATTTTGAAGAGTTATTTGGAATTTTATTCATTTAGAGGGACAAAACTTTATAGCAGTAACTGCATGGAAAGGTGCGGATTTTTACATGCAGGAGGGGTGAAAAAATTGTTTTGAGACATAATCCTGAGGTGAAGGCCAGACTTTGGTATTATGCCTAGGGAAGGACACTCAATGCGTGCCATAAAGGGCTGGAAGCCATAACATGGACCTGCTTGGGCTGTGTAAAATTTGGAACAAAATCCCAGTATTTTGTAGCAATCGGTCGAGCAGTTGGTTGTTATGGGTCAGGATCAGCACAGTTAAGAAAGACTAGTTTATTTGTTTTGGCTGGATTAATAGTCTATTCAATAGGCACTAATGTTAGGAAATAGAGAGGAAACAGCTGAATACTTACCATGAAAAATATTCGAGCCGCCAATTCACAGCAGGGCTTTTTAACTCATGAAGTGAACTCATGAAGGCGTTCACATGGGTTTAGCTGACACGGGTCGGATTCGTACGTTAAGATGAGATTTTACCTCAGCGCAGGGATGGTAAAACTGCGGGTAAATCGCTCCCCGCCCTGCATCCGACAACACTTTTCCAAGCAGGCTTTACCCCTCCGAGGCTGAGGCGAGGCCGCCCAACCCACAGAGGGGATAAGCTGAAAAGGGAATTTTCTGGGAAAGGGAGCAGGCCGCAATACAACTTCTCAGTGACTGGAAGAAGTAGTTCCGCCACCACCGAGAAAAGGCCCCTTTGAGAAAGAGCGAGCCAAGATGGAGGCGGCCGAGCGCCGCTCGGCAAGGGCGGGAAAGCGGCAAGGGCGGCTTGCTCGGCCGCGCCTGGATGGCGAGACCTGGCTGGAAGGTTTTCTCTCAAGCCTCCTTTTCGCTCCCCGCCTCATATTTCTTCATGCAGCCCTATCTACCAACGACGCCCCTTCTCTCACCTTGCTTTCCTGCGCCGCCTTCCCTCCTCTTTTCCTCTCAGCACCCACCCCTCTGATACTCCGATACTTTTCCTCTGCATTTGTAGGGCTAAGGGGAGGTCTAGGAGAGCCAGTGTGGCATAATAGTAGAAGGGTTGGACTAAGATTTGGGAGATGAGGGTTCTAATTTCATGAAGCTCATGAAGTGACTTTGGCCTGTCGCTGATTCTCAGCCTAACCTACCTGTTAAGAAGATAAAATGGAGAGGTGGATTATGTAAGCCACCTTGGGTTACCTACTGGAAAGAGGTAGGATATCAGCAAATATCCCCCCTTTTTTCCCTTCCCCTTCTCCTTCTATTCTCCTCTTTTTGCATTTTACACCAATCCTTAGATTCCCTGCCCCCTTTTCTGTCTCTTTGTACCCTGTCTTAGCTGACCCCGTTTCTCTTTGCTCATTTCATATTACCCATCTCTGAAGCCCAAGCTGTGACCCTTTTTCCTTGCCGCATTTTATCTCTGCTGCTCCTTGCACACTGCGTTTAGTAGCAACAACATGGCCACTGCATGCAACACTTTCCCTCACCCAGCCATAAACTGAGGAAGCATCATGCAGCTGGCTGGAAAATCTATATAAGGGCACTTGCTTTCCAGAGCATCCTTGCTGCTGCATAACCAAACACTGTGAATGTTTTTCCTCTCCATGATTGCTTTAGGAAACAATGAACAGCTGAGTGTGGATGATGCAAGGAAGAATTTGGCTCTTGAGGCACTATTTGTGTGGCCCGGATCCTGCACTATCTGCTTAACCAAGTGGAACCCGCTTCAATGGAGGGGCTTGATTCATGGAATCAGTTCCCACAAGTTGTGGTGATAGCTGCTAGCAGTTAAACAAATTTCAGAGAGAAAAATCTACTAACAGATACTGACCGTACAAGCTCAAGCTCAGTGGAACCAACTTTCTCATGATTCCTGAAAGAGCCTGGGAGTTTTATATAAGTTAGTCAGAACTTAACAGGACAGAAACTTGAGAATTTGAACTCATCTGATGGGTAAATGTAATGCATAATCATGTTTCCGGAACAGTTAAGTGGAGTTGCTTCATTCTAGGGTGACATCCTTTATAGAAGCAGCAGCCATTCTCCCATCCTTGGACCACTTTTGATTGACCTGTGTGGGCTTCAGATGCTCCAGTGAAGTTGTAGGAAAGGGTTAGGACACATTGTCATCCCATGACCACATACAGTGAGTATTTACAGTGACCCAGGCCCCACAAGTAGGGTCACAACTGCCTTTAGGCTTATGTTATACATTTGCCACATTCATTTCCTTTTACTCTCAAGCCCACTTCCCAGAGCTTCTTTCCCAAACATTCTCTTTTGGCACAAGATAGTATGATAGTCACCAAATTACCCTTCTTTAAAAGGGGATTATATAAATTCATGGAGGATAAAGCTATTAATGGCTGCTGCTCATGCTGGCTATATATGACCTCCAGGATCAGAGGCACCATGCTTCAATGCTAATCACGGTGAAATGATGCAGGAGGGTTATTGTTCTGATTGCAGGCTTCCCAAAGGCATCTAGTTAGCCTCTGCAGATCTTTGGATTGATCCAATGTCATTCCTCTTATCACTTTAGCTTCATAGAACCAGTGTGGCAGTTAGTGTTGGACTAGGGACCCAGGACATCCCTATTCCGGTTCATACTCAGCCACAAGACTCACTGGGAAACTCTGGGCTAAGCACTGACTGTCAGCCTAACCTATCTTACAGAGCTGTTATTGTGAAGATAAAATGGAGTGGCAGAGGACTGCACAAGCTGCCTTGAGGTCCATTGTTCCTCTTGTGAGGAACCATTAAATAAATGATATTAATAATAATATCCTGAAATAAATGTAATAATAATATCCTGAAATATCCAAGAACTCATCTATTCTCACCCTCTTACCATTTAAATCTGACATTTCCCCCCACAGTTCCATTCTTAAGCAGATCGGCTTCCGAAGAAATGCATAGAAAGAAGAGGGACATATATCCCACATGATATTTTTATCATTCACAGTCATCCTTTATAATGTTAAGGCTCAACAAATGTAACTCATTCTAGTTGTCATCCATTTTTTCTGTCTAATATGTAGGTTAGCCTGAAATGTGTAAAGAAGATGAAATTTTCAGAATTAACAGATATTCTTTCTGGTCATAAATTCTTAATGACTCTCACTATCGAATTTGTCAGCACTTTGTATCATATGACTGAGTCATAAATATGCAGTTTTTCAAAACCAGCCAGAAGATTTATTTTAAGATAATGTATGAAATATGATCCATGATTCATTCTTCACTGTCAAAGAATAAGAACTGTACTCCCAATGTAAACCAAACAGCACAACAAGCAATGAATTAACGATTTTAAGTTTTGTTTGCTGTACAAAACATAGACATCAGGATTATGAGGAACAACACAGAAAGGAGAAAGACATGGGGGGCATTGTGGGTGAAGAGGAATAACAAGCTATGCAAGTCGTTGGCAAAAGGGAAATATAATTAGTAAAAGCCAGGCCCAAAGTACTGCCCCATTTCATTGGCCAATTCCTTGAGTTCTTGGAAATCTGATTGGTTCGGATCAACTATCTCCTCCTTCCATGGCAATTGCCTTTTTTCATCATAGTCTTCACTCAACCCATTGAGCTGGTTAGTATCTTCCATGGAATAAGAGCCTCTAGGCAGACTAACTATTGCCAGCTGGCCATCTTGCCTGGAGTCGTCATAATAAGCATCTTCTTTGTCCCGACGCATCAGGATTGGTTGGAAGAAAGACAGCTCTTGGCCTGGACTGCTGATATCAAGACTGTTGTCTGGCTTTTCACATGTGGACACTGTTGAATATCTAGGGAAGGACAGCAATATGGCGGCAGGGTTGAGTGAATGCGGTATATACTGAAATTATACATGAAAAATGTAATATCACA